TTAGTATCTTTAAATTTAAATTTGATTTCAATCAGAAATAAAATTAAGGTTAAAAAAGGAGCAGATGCAGCACCTGGTGGCCGTTGGAGGTACTGCAGCTGACTGGCCTCCTCCTCCTCCTCCTCTCCCTGCAGGTGCTGATGGTGCGCTTTACATCACTGTTTAATGTGAAGGAGCAGACGGTGACATTCCTCTCTGGCACCACCTACAGCCTGGAGGAGCTGCAGGCGATGGGGATGAGCGAGCTGCTGGGAGGCATGTTCGACTTCAGCCTCAAACTGGCGGCACTGGAGCTGAACGCCGAGGAACTGGGACTGTTCACCGCCGTGGTGCTGGTGTCTGCAGGTGAGGACGGAGGGAGGACGGAGAGACGATGGAGAGATGAAGGAGGGATGATATTATTATGGATTTCTATCTGAAATGTACGAAACCTTTTGTCTGCAATGAGCTGATGTCGTCGAGACATCGGCCTGGGGGGTCCTAGGGTTAGGGAACAGGTCCAGAGTCGAGTCCCGCCGTTTTACCGCCACGTTTCTGTTCCTCTGTTGTTACATGTAAATGACGTCACGTCCTGAACAGGGTTCCTCATGTTCTCCTCTTCCTCTTCCTCTTCCTCTTCCTCTTCCTCAGACCGCTCCGGAATCGAGAACGTGGCGTCGGTGGAGCAGCTGCAGGAGAACCTGATCCGAGCGCTGCGGTCGCTGGTCAGCAAGTCGGCCGTCACCCCCGGCAACAACCATCACAACCTGGACTCGCCCCGCTTCACCAAACTGCTGCTGAAGCTGCCCGACCTGCGGACGCTCAACAACATGCACTCTGAGAAGCTACTGTCGTTCCGCATCGACGCCTGAGGACGTCACTGATGATGTCGTCAACGATGTCACCGGTCACTTCCTGTTCACTCAGATCAGGGTCACTTCCTGTGGTCGCCGGTGATGATAAATGCGATCATGTGGAGCTCTTCATCACCTCGTTATATCATCATCCCAGTGTGTAATGATGATGTCATCGCCACCAGCATCGTAAAACACAGTGATGCTGTCATCAACAAAACTGTTCAGCTCTCAGCTCACCGCCAAAATAAGAGTCTGTAGCTTACACAGTGGCTTCTGGAGCAGTCTGACATTTTAACAACCTGTTTTTTAACTTTTCTCCAAAAACAATTATTTATTATTGATTCAATCTCAGTGGATCCAGAACAAAGTGTTTAGCCTAGCTTAGCATCAGGACTGGAGCCAAAGGAAAACTGCTAGCCTAGCTTCACCCCCACATGGAGACGTGACAACAAATGGGCACAACAATAAAAGAAGAAAACAATAAGTAAAGAAGTAAACAGACACCAAACAAACAAAAAGTAAACAAGTTTATTCTGGAGGTAACACCCAGTATTATTTTAGCTGGACTGGTTGACTACCAGCTGTCTTAGTGCTACGCTAGGCTAACAGACCAATCTCTGTACAGAAACTGACATCTGTCTGAAACATCTGAAGCCGTGGTCACACCAGGAAGTGCCTCGGTGAAATTCATCCACACAGCAAAGTGGACAGGTGCGTCCAGGTGTAGTTAAAACAACAGGAAGGTGTTTGGAAATCTGTGTCACACAGATTTAGGTGACTTCACTTCCTGTAGATATCGTTATCTCTGATGTCCCTCCAGAATAAAGCTCCAGAAATCCAGTTAGAAACCAGAGAAAACAGAGTGACTGATAACGTGCAGATATAAATTAATACAGGACCAAGGACTCACTGAATCCTTGGCATATACCTATATTTACTCTTACTTACACACACACACACACACACACACACACACACACACACACACACACATATATATATATATATATATGTATGTATGTATGTATGCAGAAAACAAATTAAAACCCAATAATATTTTAGAATCCTTTATTATTTATAAATGAATCCTAAATTTGGGATGGACCCTGTATCTTTTACAGGTTCCCACCGTCCTGTCTGAGCTCAGCACAGATTCACTTTGCTGCTGTGAATGGATCCACACACTGAGACGACGCCTTTAAAATGACCCGACTTCAGAGTAAAGTTGAGCCATTTTAAAAAAACCACAGGATTCACATTAAAACGTCAGACTCCTGCCGTACAGATGACTCAGGAGAACGGGGGACATCCAGAACTTCCAAGACATTTTGTGGTTAAACCTCAAGAGTCCACCTTCCCTCTGCCCCGAGCCGACACCAGCCAATAGCGCGGAGGAGCAGCAGTGACGGACAGCTTCACCGACCGATGAGACGGAGGAGGAGGGATGACGTGTTTAAGGACAATCAGCAAAATCAGACGTTACAGGGACCTGCAGCGTGCAGACCGAAGCCTCAACCAGTCGCCTGTCTAACCAACAGTATGCAGCAAATCTTCTGTATAAAAACTGTAAATACTCAGATATCCAGTGATACTTGAACTGTGCGACACACGGACATATTTACATCTATATTTTTTGTTAATAAGAATATATGCCTGTGCAAATGTTATGACTATAAGTGTGTGGGCCACGAACTGTATGTGCAACAGGTTTGAAACATTGTGGAGTTTGACATTTATCTAATGGAAAAGAGATATTCTGGTGTATGTATTTTAATGTGTTTTATGTTGTAAAGACATTATAAATATATATATATATATATATATAATAAATATAAATACACACTCATATGAATCCTGACGGCCTCGACTTTGTTTCTGTCTCTGAAGATTTTGAGCTTAAATTCCATATGAAACTAGTTACTGCCTCGTCCTTCAGCTCCAGGTCAGAGAAAAGAGAAAATATGAACCATTTGTGTGAAATGTTTTAACTGCTGTGTAAAGTCTTAAGTAATGGATAAAAAGTGTTTTGTGAGGTCACTGTGACCTTGACCTTTGACCTTTACCCACCAAAGTCTATTCAGTTCGTCCTCGGGTCCAACTGAACGTTTTTACAAAGTTTAGAGAAGTTCCCTCGAGGTGTTACGGAGATATTGCGTTCAAAGGGCCAAAACCGTGTTTTGTGAGGTCACCGTGACCTTTGACCCCAAAAATCTAATCAGTTCATCCTTGAGTCCTCGTGAATGTTTGTGCCAAATTTGAGTTCCGTGAAGGTGTCACTGAGATATCGTGTCCATGAGAATGAGATGGACGGATGTGCGAATGGAAACCCCGAAAACAAAATGGCTGCCGCTCTGACTGTCGCCGTCATGGAGGAATGAAAAGAAATGAAATAACAGCTTAAATACTTTAAAGAAAACAGGTTCAGATAAAGTAGAGACAACAATCACTAGAACCTCCTGAACCAAACCTCCTTCTCACCTTCAGTCTCAAACAGTTCAGTTCATGACGACAGTGAAAACTTCAGACTTTTTACTGAAGAAGAAGAAGAAGTTTTTCATTTACTTGTTTCCTTTCCTCTGCGTCTGCAGGAGGATTCAAACAGGCAGAGACACTGAGTCACACGGAGCACAAGTAGGTCAAACTCAAGCCTCATAACCAACTTTCCACTCTGCTCTCTGATTGGTCGGCTGCTGCTGAAACTCAACATCCCCCGCCGGCCAATCAGGAGGCAGCAGGTGGAGTCATGAGCAGTGTCCCAGTTTCAGAGACACACAGCGATTCACACATTGTCTCTTTTTTATGGTGATTTCTTATGTAATAACTTTGGGAGTTGTGCACCGTGGTGATTGAGCTACAGTACACGCTGTGCGGTTGCTACGGAGACCGTATAAAACCAGGACACAACTTATTTTATTTTATTGAATCAGCTTTTTTTTTGCCACAATGTTTTTATTTAAATGTGAAATCATGAAATCAAACCGCGTCTAGCATCTGTATAATCTACTGTACACTTCACTATATAACATCTGCATTCACTCAACGCGAAGGAATAAAACATTAATAAATTAATAAAACACTTCAATCTACACAACATGGAGTTACTATAAGGACAGAAAACAAGTCTTTAGAAGAAGAGGAAAAATAGAGACTTCTGTTTTTATTATAATATATACTTAATGAAGGGCCTCCATGTATTCTCACATATAAGCTGATCAGCCTTTAATATGTAGGGTTTCCTGAGAACATCTGTCTTACATCTGTGGATTTCTTCTCCATCACAGTGAACAGTCTTTTGGCAAAAAGGAAACTGAGCTCTATAAATTCTATATATAAATGATCAGGATATAAAACCAACAGGAAGTTTAGGATCATAAATCCACCTCCTCCCAGAGCAGCGTAATGACCCAGTGATCCCTGAGTCCGTGCACGTAGTGCACGTCTGGTATCTTTGTGTTGTATTTAGTTTAGTGTCTCATATGTCAGCATTAACTTGATTCAGGTATTTCTTGTTAAGATTCAGCAACATCTGCAGTTGTTCTGTGTCTGTCTGTGATTAATGCAGGTAAGAAACAGGTGACAACGTGCTGCACCCGTCGGGTTCCTCCCACTGCAGCAACATTAAAGCTGCAGGAGAATCAGTCCCTCTTTTACTCCCTTCAAGAGTTTCCATTGGTCACGTCAGGAAGTTTAAACAAACACGTTTCATTACAGACAGGAAATCATGAACGAGTCAGAATCAGTTTCTCATTTTAGCTTGAAAACAAATAAAAAGTGATTGAATATTTTTCTGTTGATCAATTAATCGGCTCCAATTTAAACTCTGGATTTTATATTTTATTGGCTTGTTTTTACACTTTATTACTTTCTGTGATATTTATTACGTGCACATTTTGTTAAAGTTTGACGTGTGTGAGGAATACAAACCCTCAGACCTTCAGCTTCTCTGTTTCCTGACGTTATGTAATCATGTGTACGACTGTGTTATGTCACAACCTGAGGTAGATGTGCAGCAGTGCATGCTGGGAGGCCCTCAGAGGGAGGCAGCAGGCAGACGGACAGGAAACACCGCCTCCTGGTGGACACACTGAGGCACTGCAGGGGCAGCTTTGAAAAATAAAAGCCCCACATTCAGGAGCTTCCTGTTTGTGCTGGTTTATGTTCGTGAGCAGTTTTTATTTTGTTTAATTAAAAAAGGTTTAATTCGTTTTTGGCCTTGTGATGTCACGGCCAACACGCCTGGTTTTTCATGGTGGGAAAACTTTATTTACACTTTGATGTTTTGTACAATGACATCATATAAAACACAAATACTGAGGTGAGAACAACAACAGTAAACAAACAGAAGAACAGGTGAGAGAGTCACACCTGGTGGACACCTGAGGGACGATCAAAAGTAAAAGTGACAAAAGAAGAAGAAGAAATGAAGAGCGCCCATCAGATGAGAGGACTGCTGCAGAGAAGAACCAACCAGTCAGTCAGACTGAGGTCAGGTTTATGAGTCTGTGGGGGGGGGGGGGGGGGGGGGGGGAAGAGAGAGAGAGAGAGAGAGAGAGCGAGAGAGAGAGATTAGTGCACTTTCATAATTGAGTAACGTCTCTTTTATATTGTTGTTGTTGTGTTGTTGTTGTTGTTGTTGTGTTGTTGTTGTTGTTGTTGTGTTGTTGTTGTTGTGTTGTTGAGTTGTTGTTGTGTTGTTGTTGTGTTGTTGTTGTTGTGTTGTTTTTTGTTGTTGTGTTGTTGTTGTTGTGTTGTTGTTGTTGTTGTGTTGTTGTTGTTGTGTTGTTGTTGTGTTGTTGTTGTGTTGTTGTTGTGTTGTTGTTGTTGTGTTGTTGTTGTGTTGTTGTTGTTGTTTTGTTGTTGTTGTTGTTGTTGTGTTGTTGTTGTTGTTGTTGTTGTTGTGTTGTTGTGTCTAACATCACAGAGTGGACGAAACACTGACAGTAAATCTCCATGTGACGGGACAAAGACCCTGAACTGATTTCTGAACTTTACGACGAGGTTTGTGTTCGTGTGGTGTTACCTTCAGTCCAGATGTGTCCACATGTTGTCCGTCCCTGCGTACCGACAGCAGGCGGGCTCGTCCGCTGCTCGGGTACCCCTCCTCCACCTCCAGGTGACACACCAGCAACGCAGACTTCAGGTAGATCAGCAGGCGCTGTGCAGGACGCCAGTCGATGGCAAAACTGGAGACACAAAGACACATTAATGTCCAGATGTGTTTAGCCTAGCTTAGCACAAAGACTGGAAGTGGGGGGAAACTGCTAGCCTAAAAAAAAAAAAAAACGCCTTTCAACAGCTGCAATCTATTTACCTGTTATAAAAATACACCTGTTGCCTTCTGTTAATATGAAGCCTGAAGTTATTAGAGGAATATTTAACTGTTCCTTTAAACGTTTAGAAACGCTTCTTGTATTCTTGAACGACACTTTAACTATTTCTGTACATCTGTTATTAGAGTTATAATAATAATTACATAAATAAATGTGTCGTTATTACAGAGACTCTTGACTGATACTTCATATATAAATGAGGCAGTTTCGTCCATAAACAGGTTCAGTGTCAGCTCATCATGACAGGTGATTATTGGTTATTGATCTGACAGTCCGCTCAGACCCATCAGAGGTCTCGCTGGTCACCGCTGACCGACTGTCTCTACACAAACAGGAAGTGGAGGCTCACCTGGATCTCAGGGTCTGGATCTCTGACAGCAGCTCAGCCTGACCCACGTAACACTGCATCACCTCCAGCAGGGCGGCGCTCAGCTCCGCCCGACGGCCCGACAGACAGTCCTCCACCAGACCGGCCGTCCCCTCACTCACCTGCAGAGACACAGTGTCGTCAGGTGAGACAGCGTAATCAGACCAGAGGAGGTAAGGACACAAGGAGAGAGGAGACATGGAGAGGAGACAAGGCGAGAGGAGACACAGATGAGGGGAATCAGATAAAGTCTAAACCTCCTCATGTGTTAGTGATCCGACATCAGATGTTAGATTGTGAGGTGTTTCCCATCATGCCTTGCATCACCTGGCTCTAAAATCTGCAGCTGTGATCGTTCAGGTGATCAGCTGATCAGGTGAGTTACCTGCAGTCTGAAGCGGTCGTCATGGCTCCAGGTGACTGATAGCTTCAGCGGCTCCAACTCATTGGATGAAAGATCAGAGGAGAGGCGTGGCCTGAGCTCCACACACAGCTCTGATTGGTTGAAGGAGAGCAGGTTGATCTGCATGACGCCCTGTGCAGCGGAGACATACACCTGCAGCCTGACAGGTGAACAGGAAACTGAGTTAGAGACCAATCAGATCGCCTGATCACGGGTCACATGACTTGACGACACTCACTCGTCTCTGAGTTGCTGCCAACTGATCAGTTGACGGAGCACCGCCTCTGACTCCGCCCTCAGCTGGATCAGCTGACGATCACATGATTGCAATGCATTCTGGGCCTTGAGCAGAGACTCCTCCAGCTGTTCACACTGCTGCTTCTGAAAGAGACAAGGAGTAGAGGAGACAAGTAGACAAGGAGAGAATGTGTGAGTGGAAGTTACTTGCTGAAATGCACCTTGGGAGTTGTAGTTGATGTCCATAGCTTCTTGATCTTTGACTTTCTCTGATGATTGAAGCAGTTTCATGTGGATCTGAGAGTCTGTGCGTGTGTGTGTGTGTGTGTATGTGTGTGTGTGTGTGTGTGTGTGTGTGTGTGTGTGTGTGTGTGTGTGTGTGTGTGTGTGTGTGTGTGTGTGTGTGGTCACCTTGCTGTGCAGCTGTTGGACCAGCTGTGTGAGTGTGTGTCGTCTGTTGTGGATCTGTTGGACTCTGTCCTGCAGTGACCTGAGCAGAATCTCCGTCTCCTCCACCTCCGACCTGCTCTTCACCTTCAGAGCCTTCCACCTGCCCCGAGCCCCGCCCTCTGACACACACACACACACACACACACACACACACACACACACACACACACACACAGAGAAAAAGACAAATCTATCATAATAGTCCTTGTGACCTTTAACCTGGTCTGGTGGTCTGATATGTTTTACATTAAATATCTGACTCTAATTGAACCAAAACTAAATCCTGATGAAATGAAGTAAAAGGGATTCTGTATTTCTCCACCACATTTTAATGAAGTTGAATAAAATCTGAGGAATTTTTACTGAGTTTGGTTGGTAGCAAGTCCAGACTTTCCCAGGTTATTTCTACAGCACTGAGTATGTACTGCATGTACACTGTGTACTATATTTACTGTGTGTACTCTCAATGTAATGCGTGTTCTGTGTGTGTACTGTGGGTACCAGGCTGGGGGGGGCAGGGCTGTGTCATCAGTTGCTGGGCAGACTCCAGACCCTCCAGTAGAGACATCATGGAGTCAAGGACGAACAGCTGACGCCACAAAACCTTCTGAACACGACGACTGTCCTACACACACACACACACACACACACACACACACACACACACACACACACACACGCACGCACGCAGACACACACAGAGACACACACAGAGGGAGAGAGACAGACAGATCACCACACACACACACACACACACACACACAGACACACACACACACAGTAAGATTTCTATACATTACATTTTCTATTAAAAAAACAAGTCACCCTATCCTTTAGTATCTACACCTCACTGTTCATCACTTCACCATCCAGCGACAATAATAATACTAATAATAACAATAATGATGATAATAACAACAACAATACTACGAGTACTACCACTAATAATCAGAATAATAATATTAATTGATCTCCTCTGGGACTCAACACTACAACAGTACTGAGGAAAGCTCAGCAAAGCAGCTGACACAGTTTTCTGTCCCACAGGAGGATGTGATGCAGTTTCATGGTGCTGGGTTTGAGAGCGTCCCTGTTTAGTTCAGTCACACAGATAAACACACAAGTCCTAAAACTGCCTGATGTGGTCCAGATGTGTACAGAAAGCATCTGTAAATTGCTATGTTTGCCTTTTCACAAACTGAATAAAGGTCTGACAAATTTGAATCTGTGTTTCAAAAGATCTTTATGGTGTCTGTTATAATCTAGTCCAGGGCTGATAAGTCTGAGTGCAGTTGTTGTTGATCTGGACCTGGTCCATGGTGTGTGTCATTAATGAAATCAAGTTTCCACCGATGTAAAGGTGGCGGTGGCCTGACGTCACTCCTGACCGTGAGGTAGACGACCATCCTGGCTGCTTCAGCAGAGTCCGGCTGCTCCGAGTCTGCGCGGGGGTCCAGCAGATCCGGATCACAGCGCTGCAACACACTGAAGCACAGAGACACAGACACAGACACGCAACAGAACAGACACGCAACAGACACACAACAGCGCGCCATGTTTATTTCACACGGAGTCTGAAAACCGACCAACAACAACAAGTGCTAGCTCTGTCAGTTAGCTCTAGCTAGCTAGCTCTCGAACATCCGTCACTGCCGTTAAATCTCATGGTTTCACACATTTGAGTTCATCGTTTGGCGCGGGAAAGTTCGGCTGAACGTCCAGACACATTTAAATCACTTCCTCTGAACAGAGCAGACGTTAACTGAGAGGACTAACGTTAAATGTTGAAGTTTTTAGAGACTTACGCTCGGACTTCAGCCATTTCTGTTTTCAAATCCCCGCCACGAGTGATCTGATTGGTCGGTTCATTGTGACGTCATAGTTCGTCTTACTCGGGTTTGACTGGCGGTTGATAAACCAGCCTGCAGGTGCATTACCGCCACCTGCTGGACTGGAGTGTGGGAAAGGACGGTAATGATACAAAATCAAGTAGTTTTTGTTTTTTTGTAAAATTATATTGAAGAAATGGCACCAGGATGCATTATGGGAAGAAGGCAAGCCGGGGGAGGCGGCATGATGCTTTGGACGATGTTCTGCTGGGAAACCTCGGGTCCTGTCGTTCATGTGGATGTTTCTTTGACACGTAGCTCTACCTAAACACTGTTGTAGACCAAGGACAGTCCTTCATGGAAACAGTATTCCCTAATGGCAGTGGCCTCTTTCAGCAGGATGATGCTCCTGCCACACTGCAGCAACGGCTCAGGAACGGTTTGAGGAACTAAACATGGAGGTCAAGGTGTTGACTTGGCCCCCAGATTCCCCAGATCTCAATCCAGTTGAGCATCTGTGGGATGTGCTGGACAAACAAGTCCAATCCATGGAGGCCCCACCTCACAACTTACATGACTTGAAGGTTCACCAAAGTCTAATCGGCTCGTCCTGGAGTCCAAGTGGACATTTGCTGACATCACAAAGGGCTCCTTGATGTGTCGTCTCCGGAGCTGGTAGATCACCACACACAGACGCTGTAAAGGGAACAACATTATACAATAAGCTGTCTACAGTAGGAGTGCAGACAAACCAGCAGCTTTGATTCTCTCACACCTGTTGCATGTCCAGCTCAGTCTTCCCTGAGTCAGCTCTTTCCAGAGCCTTAAACATTTCTGGTTGAGAGACAGAAAGATACTCACCACACAACAGCTGGGAATCTCTGTCTCATGTCGTCCTCCTGGCTCTCTCCTCATGTTTTCTGTCCATCTTTACTGACAACTGTCAAATACAGGAAAACTCTCCAACACATGATTCAAACAAGTTTCACTTATTTCATCTATTATCTGATCTACAACAATTCAACCATCAGAAACTTCTGGTGACATTGAAATGAACTAAATGTGCTGCTTGGAGCTCGGACCACACTCTGTCCACAAACATGGACTTCAACACAAAATCACTGTTTCTCATCATTTCTGTTGTGTATAAAAATAAAAGCCTCTCTACAGCTTCATGCAGTTGTTTGGTTTTCCATCAGGTCAAAGTTCTGGATAGAACCTGGTTCCTGCTGCTTTTTTATTTCTGGTATCACCTCCGCTGAGGGTCCAGGTGAGCTGAGGAGACACCTGAAGGTGACGTAAAAAACGCCGCAGGCTGCTGATTGGTCAAAGAGAATCGTCACTACTGCGTCATCGTCGTGCGGGATGATCTGAACAAACCCGCCATTTTTAAACAGGCAGCGACTGAGCAGCGCTCACTGTAGACTGTTTATTTCTGTCAGTCATTGTTCTAAACTCTTAGTACGACAACCACAGAAACCACCGTGGTCAATGAGGAGGAGCAGACTCTGTTGAGGTTCCCTGGCGTTTGATGATGACGTCACAGTGGCTTTGTGCGTCGTGGTAGAAAAAGGAGAACTGGGGAACCGGAGTTGAGTGGAGTCGGTACCATGTGGTGGAGAAACGCTGTATGAAACACGGGTCCTGCTGTAGCACCAATCCCATTAGAATCAGATGTAACCAGCGACGTCCTCATCCAGCCTGATGAGGTGACAGCTGTTGTGCATCAGGAGCTTCAACACAATGGACAGATGAAGGACGTCGCTGGTTACATCTGATTCTAATGGGATTGGTGCTACAGCAGGACTCGTGTTTCACACTGTTGCATCTCCTCACTGATGGGAGCTCGTGACGTTCCCTGTTTCCTGGTGACGTCTGTGGTGTGATGACGTGGATCGACTTTGTAAAGTCAAGTGGTTCAAAAGAAACAAAACAATATGTTGTTTTTGTTAAATTTATCACTTTAATCTAAGAACATCACCCCCCCCCCACAATGAATTTACATTTCAACATCCAACATATTTACAAACAATTCTCCATCACACCACATGATGGAGCTGATTCACCAGATTCATCACTGTGGGTTCAGCTGATCTAAATGAGACAGAAAACAGTCCAGGAGGAGCAGGAGGAGGAAGAGGAGGAGGAGGAGGAGGAAGAGGAGGAAGAGGAGGAAGAGGAGGAAGAGGAGGAGTCTCAGTGTGTGTGCAGACACTGTTCAGACGGACAGATCAGAGACACTGATGATGGTCTGTCAGGTCCAGAGGAACACACAGGGATGATGGTGGACTGGACTCTGTGTGTGACAGTGGAGCTGTTCTCAGATCAGTTCAGACTGCAGCACTGAGAGTCATCTCCACTTCTTCTGATTCCTCTGTCAGTCACTGCTGGATGAAGCTCTCCTCTCCACTCCACCTCCCAGTAACATGGTCCAATCAGAGCCTCTCTACACACCAGCTGCTGCTTCAACATCTGGATCATCAGGACACACA